TTTTCTTGTACTTCAAGAAACATGGTTAAAATGGAACATAGGGGAAAAATGTATTTCTTTGCTTTTGAAGAAAATATGACAGATACAAAGAACATTTCAATGGAATTTTTAAGCCACTCATTAATATATATTAAAAAGCAAAAATAATCATTGATGAAAGATTTAAGCATAAAATTACAGGTGAGCGATTCAGGCTTTTGAGAGCCTCTTGTTCAATGTAACATTTTGTACGCCAGACGAGTGTTTAGTTTACAAAGTAGTCATCAGTGACACTCGAATGAACAAGGATATCAACTGGATCCAATACTACAGTTCTTCTCTACTTTTTATATTTAAACCATATTCTTTTCGGAGTCCTATATAAACGTTTCGAGGATTATTAGGTGAAAATGTTTCCAACGTTGTTAATACACTTAACCGTTCTCTCTCAAATTTGTTACTTAACATTGCTTGTTCATAAAAATCAACCGTTTCCTTTGCAGCCTGTTGGAAAGACGTGGGCTTAAAACCAAGTTTATGCTTTGCTTTTTCACAGCATATTGGACCTTTTGTCACGGACGGAAATAAGTGAACAACATCTTCATTGTCAGACATTTGAATATCAATATCTTGCTTTTCCATATATTTTTTCATCATTTCAAGAACTTCTGGCAGCGTTGGCGTCTCATCAAAAGCAAAGTTGTATGCTTCGTCTAAAAGGTCTTTGTCATAATTCAAACTTTGTGATACAATTTTTGCAACGTCTTCAACATAAACAAAGCTCATCGAAAAGTTAACAAGATTTTTCGGAATAGATATTTCTGTTTCTAAGTATGGTGATAATCGCAACCAAGCCTGGTATATCCACCAACGGTACGTGTTATCACGTGATCCAATAACATCTGGCAATCTGATGAAGAAGTATGGCATCCCACCTTGCTTTCTCTGTTCTACCAAAACCTCTTCCCCTGAAAATTTCCGATGTCCGTAATCATCTTTCTTGTTCAAAATCTCCTGCTCTGGTATATCACCCGGTCGTACAGAATCGGTCTCTACCGTTGGCCGAGTATGGTTTTTTGTGCAGACCTCGTATACAGAGTCAGAACTGATGTAGATATAACGCCCTACTCTTCCTGTAATTAAAAAATAATCATATTTGTGCACGCCAAAGACACGTATTTAATAGCTATTTTTTGTCAAAAGCTTTGCATATGGCAACATTTTCTGCATTTAGTTGGTTTTCATGTATAAAAAGGGGGGTTCCTTTTTTGTTTGACAACTAATGCTTTTGTATGGGGACTTAAGGTTGGACCCCCCCTTTTAAAATGGCTGGATCCGTGCCTGAAGTTTGAAGGTTTATTGCAATTATCATATATTTTGTTATCTATGTTTTTAATTGACTTTGATACAAGTCTTTATAACTAATATAGATATATAAATTAAAGGATAAATGTGCCATGTACATAACAAACTAAGATCTCGATGAAAGTTACCGGCGGAATGAGTCAGTGTTGCACCTCATCCTTTTATTATTTTTTTTAATTTATTGAAATTCACTGGATATATTTATTACATTGGTTGCAATAAATTACCTTGCCTGATTTCTCAGTGAAATAAAAACCGATAATTTCACATGTGAAATGATACATTAGTTTATAATATGATCGAAAATAGTATTGAGGTTCTTTTCATCCGGACAGAACCTCCGTAAAAATATGAAGTCGACTTACCTTGCAGAAGTTTCAATGTATCCTTGATCATATACGGATCAAAACCACTGAAATCTACAATTGCATCATAAAAATCATACTGTTCTGCACTCCAGCAATCCATTAAACTTTTCATTCGATCACATTTCAAATGCTTTATCCGTGGCTTGATAGTATCTTCAGTGTCCCAATACCAGTTTCCTCTGGTAACCAAAGTCAAATCGTGTCCATTTTCTAGCATTTTATTTACGCTGGCTGCACCAATAAGACCATTTCCACCAAGCACCAGCACCTTTTTAACACCACCCGCGTTAGTCCAAAGAACAAGAGAGAAGAGTATTATAAATAATATCAATAAGCCCATGATTTCTAACTGAACAATACTTTTGTGTCTCCACTTTTAAAAACAAGATAAATAAAGTAAATGGCCTTGATGTTCAGTAGTTGTTGTTTGTTGATGTGGTTCATAAGTGTTTCCCGTTTCCAGTTTTTTATATAGATTAGACGGTTGGTTTTCCTGTTTGAATGGTTTTACAGTTATTATTTTTTGGGGCCATTTATAGCTTGCTGTGCGGTGTGAGCCAAGGCTCTGTGTTGAAGACCGTGACGGTACTTTGACCTATAATGGTTTACTTTTATAAATTGTGACTTGGATGGAGAGTTGTCTCATTGACACGTATACCACATCTTCTTATATCTATTAAGAGATAGAATGTGTTGAGATTTTTCAATTTTAATATAAAACATGATCATATTACAGGTGTAAATGTTAAAATTTACTTGAATATTTGCATTGATCCCTGGTTTGCAGTAATACTAGATTACAAGGATCATCACCATCTTAAGGGACAACCAAATGATTTTCTTGGGTGGGAAAAAAAGGGAGGGGGGGTAGGAGGATTTTGAAAATGAATATCCCAGTCTGGAAGGACCTGATAAAATATTGCCCAAAACCGGATAAAAATGAATTATCTGCAACACAAAAATGCAGGAATTTTTTTATGTGTACGAAACTTTTTGTATGTTGATTTGTACCAAAGTCAAGTTGAAAAAAACAAACTTGCATAGCATTAGATTAAACTGCAAAAAAAATCATCCTGCCCACCACTGTCATATCCCATGCAGTGTCTTTTCTGTGTCTTATATATATAATATTGGTAAGAGATTGGCAAATGATAGGGTTTCCATTTCATAAAAATGTTTATAGTTTGAATATTTTCTGTAACTTAATTAGTAAAACCAGTATAATGAGTATGTCTATTCCTTATCGAGACCAAAGACTGGCCTTTCCTATGGTAAGGGTTGGGCATGGGAATGAAGGAACGGGAAGCGGGAGAAGAAAAGGGGGGTAAAAAATGGGATATGTTGGAAAAAATATTCTGTCTGATTTTCGTCTGGGAGTAAGGGAAGGGAAGAGGGACTTGGGTTATGGAGAAGTGGGAATAAAGGACCCTCTAAAACCCGCTCCTATGGCCTTTTCAGCTACCGGTTTAGTGTGTCGTCTGCTTGAAATCTACTAAAGTTACCCAGGATTGTTTTACCAGATGATTAAAGCAGCAATAAAAAGGAGACATAACACATATTTACCTGTGAGGCTATTATTTCAACCTTTTCTCGTACAACCAGCACATCCTACTTTTATTAACTGTACAATCGAGAATCCAAAAATCGTTTATTTACGAACTGACAGGTGCGTGTTGACTCAATTTTCAGACCTTCACATAAAAGAGCTTTTGGACAGAGGTCGGTAATTGGATGTCGGTGCGAAGAGACGTTTGTGAAACACTCGTTAACTTGGTCGGTAAATTATTCTACGACCAGTGGTAAATCATACGAATATGATCTTTTGTGAAACGATAGCCAGGAACTGATGATGTTCAGAGAACAATTGAAGGTCTTTTCACCCTTGTTGATTATTAAAGTTGAAATGAACTAGAATAAATATATGCAAACATTTGATTTTTTAACAAATAGTGGTAAAAAAGGTAGCATGTGATTTAAAAAGTCATTTTAAGCATTAGGAGAAACTTATCTTTCACTATTTCCAGAAACATCAGATATTATTTTTTTCTATGAAAAAGGGAGATAATCAACTCCTGTTAAAAAAAAAAGTCCCTTTATGAGTCAAATGATAGATTACTTAATTTTATTGTAAAAATATATGGATTATATATATTTTTACTTGAAATAAGGGATGATAACTCCCATTATTTTGATTTTGAAAAATGAAATGATGGAGATATAAATTTTTTACATCTGGTTTAATAAAGTCACATATGGTGTCATATGCTAGGTTACATTTCACTGATTCCTAAAAATTGTGTTTTTTATGTACTTTTGCTTGAAATAAAGGAGATAATTTACATATTGTCACTTCCAGTGTCATATATAAATAAGAAGATGTGGTATAAGTGCCAATGACTGGTTTCTTTTTGCTAATTCCAAAAAGATATGTTTTCTAGGTATATTTGCAAGAATTTTAAAACAAACAAGTTTGTGATCCTTATAATGCAATAGGAAAGACAAATTAAAAAATATAAAAAAAATATGAAATCTGACAGACTTATTTCTTATGAAAATCTAAGGATGTTATTTTTAAAAGACTTTTAACACTTTTCAATATAGAATTTAAGTGGCCAAAAATTGACCTTTTCATACCTTCTTCTTTGTGTGTAACGATCTATGTAAACTTCCTTTGCTAGATAATTTTTAATTTTTTTTATTATTATGTAATTTAATTTTGTTTTAACCACACTTTTGAATATAAAAAAAATTAATGATAAGTGGCTTTGACATATTCATCATGCTTATTTTTGTAGCCATATGTCATCCTGGTTATTTGTTTCAAAACATTTTGGTCCTTTAAATTTCAAATTTCTTCTTAGCTCCCCTCCCTCCTAAAAATCAAATGGTTGCTTCCTGAAACAGCCTCATAAGTACAAAGTGAACCAACATGAAAGTCTATAAGCCATTTTATGACCAACAACATTGAGAAGGTGCTCAAATCACAATTGACTGGCCTTTGTTAGTCTTGTATGTTTTTTAATTTTAGTTCATTTATATGTTTTAAAGTTTAGTGTGACGTCCATTTTCATTGAACTAGTACACATTTTTGTTTAGGTCCAGCTGAAGCCCGCCTCCTGGTTCGGGATTTTCTCGCTGTGTTGAAGACCCATTGGTGGCCTTCAGCTGTTTTCTGCTCTTTGGTCGGGTTGTTGTATCTTTGATCGTGTTTTTGTCTCCTTGACATGTTCCCATTTCCATTTCAATTTTAGCTTGAATTATATTTATGTAGGAAATTGTGTTTTTCAGAACTGCCTTATGGATGGGAAAGAGTTATACAGGATGATGGAACAGTTGTGTATGTTGAGTAAGTGTTAAATTTATTTTATATCTGTCTGTACAGATCACTGCACATAGCATCTGAAAATGATGTTTTGCATACAGGGAAGATCTACAGGCAATTAAATAACAGCAAATTGAAAACCAGAAGACTTTCAAGTTAGCCAATAAATTTTTGCGGCCAGCCAAACTCAATTTTGGATAATTCTTTGGCTTCACTTTGGTGTCAATCATACTGTTAATTTACTACTGTTACCTGAGCCAAGGGTAATAAATCTGTTTATTCCATATTGATAGAACTTTAGTAGATTTTTTTATATGAATTGGATTTTGAATAAATAAGCATATTCACCGTGCAAAACGTCGCATGCTTTTACGTGTATAATTATGTTAAAAATGTTTGATGTACAATTGGTTTTGGTAAAGAATTGTTATTACATCCTTTTCTCTCAATACTCCTTCAGAATATGGAATAAAACAATTACAGTGACTGTCTTTTGTTTCGGTAAATATGTGGTTTAATTGACTTTTGAAAAACTGATATTCACTTCGGCTGCTGGCCTCAGGGAATATCAGTTTTTCAAAAGTCAATAAAACCACATATTTACCTCATCAAAAGACAGTAATTGTATAGTATTTCGAACACTTGCTTTAAGGTAAATTATTTAGAATTACTCCCCTTGTCTAACTATTTTTTCAAATGGTTATCCATAAAGTTATGTTTATTGATTAAAAATATGATAATAAGTTAATTAATGCAGAGAAGTTTTAGAATTTTCCATTAATAATTTTATTTTATTTTTAGCACATACAAAAAATAATTGAAAATCATTTTAGACATCTTTATTACTTTAAGTTCAGTAATAAAGATGTCTAAAATTTTAGACATCTTTATTACTTTAATTTCAACCGACCGTGCAAGACCTTCATGGGTAGTCAAGGTCGTTAAAAACCCTCCTTTTCCTTGTTTATTTTCAGTTTGAAGTGTTAACACTAGTGTAGGGCATCCTCTAAATCTTTAAAAAAAAGATATTAGAATATCACTAATGGCAAAATGATATATTGGAAGTGATATTATGCCTATACAAATACTAGTAAATACAAATAGGTTTTAGGCATAATTTGTTGGAATTTTTTTATTGTCCATCTAGTAAACTTGTCATAACTTTTATTTTACTTTAACTATCATTGATAAATAGTTAATAACCTGTTTATTCAGTTAATTTTTATTTGTTCAAAAGGTTATGCAAGTGTACAAAGCTAGGGAATCCTTGTTATTTTCTATATGACAAATGCAAAGGTTCCACAAGTATCTGGTATAGAGATTTACATTAAGATAACATGATCTTATCTTACAAAATTGGGAAAAAGTATTTTCATTAAAAAAAATGAATACTGAAATGGTCAATTAAAATGTTGATAAAAAATCTCCAATTATGAGACCCAAACTGCAGCTAAATATTTCTTAGTCTCATGGTAAGATTAGAGGACTAGGTATTCAAAACCCTGACCATTTCAAAGTCAGAATCAACAATTTTGAAAACTAAAAGCCAACTGATATTTCCACAAGCAACAGAACTGGAATAACAAATGATAGAGTAGACAGTTTTTCCTTTGTACTGTAATCTAAATAACTTATCAACGTTTGTAATCGTTTTTAGTCATATCAATAAGAAGACCTGCTTTACAGACCCTAGACTAGCTTTTGCAGAACCATTGAAAACTTCACCTAAGGATTTTAGACAGAAATTTGATGGAAATAGTTCAGCATTGCAGATTTTGAATGGAAGAGATTTAACGGGCAAATATGCCATTATAACGGGTGCAAGTGACGGGATTGGTAAGCATTTTAGTCATTTTTTTCTCAGTTAGTTGAAATATCTATCAAAATAGTAAATATTTTTTCTTGCTACACTGTAGAATGAAAATTATCATTAAGGCACTTGAAACTTGAAAATTTAGCTATCTATATATATTTATACCATAATGCCTCATGCAACAAATTAGCAGAGGGTACAATGTTTTTGACCTTCCCTTCAGTTGATGATGAAATTTTGAATTAACAGTGGTAATGAAAACATGGTATTTTTATTTTGCATTCTCTACTTATTATACCCCCGCTTTAAAAAATGGGGGGGTATACTGTTTTATCTCTGTCTGTCCATCTGTCAGTCAGTCCATCAGTCCCATGAATATTTTCGTCGCATTTTTCTCAGGAACTACTCGACAAGGATTTCTGAAATTTGGTTTCAGGGTTTATATAAGTAAGTTACACTGTGTGATGCGTTTTCAGATTTATCACTCAACAACTTCCTGTTTACCGAAAACTTGTATTATTTTACACATGATAGCCAAGTTGAAATTTTCGTCACATTTTTCTCAGGAACTACTTGACAAGGATTTCTGAAATTTGGTTTCAGGGTTAACATAAGTAAGTTACACCGTATGATGCGTTTTCAGATTCATCACTCATCAACTTCCTGTTTACCAAACACTTGTATTATTTTACACATGATAGCCAAGTTGAAAATTTTCGTCACATTTTTCTCAGGAACTACTTGACAAGGATTTCTGAAATTTGGTGTCAGGGTTTATATAAGTACGTTACACCGTGTGATGCGTTTTCAGATTCATCACTCAACAACTTCCTGTTTACCGAAATATTTCGGCGGGATATCATCAGTGAGCAGTAGCTCACAGTTTTACTGGTTTTTTCAGCACAAATTTATCTGTAAACACACTGGCAATGATTCTAATTGGCAAAATTCATTTCACAATCCTCCACTTTTCATCTTTAGGTTATGAAACAGCAAGATCATTAGCATTTCATGGTGCTACAATTATAATGGCATGTAGAAATACTGAAAAAGCAGAGAAGTGTAAGATTTCAATTTTGAAAGACAGACCTAAAGCTACTATAGAAATACTACACTTAGATCTTGCATCATTGAGAAGTGTCAAACAGTTTGCTGAAGAGTATAAAAGAAGAGCATGGTAAGATTTCAAGCTACAGTTTAAGGACTATTCCAGAAATGACAATTAGGGGTGGAGGGTGGGTGTTGAAACACTTTTATGGGTAGCAGGGTATTATTTGGAAGGAATACAATTTTTATACGTCCGTTTACGGGACGTATTATGGTATACCGTTGTCCGTCTGTCCGTCCGTCCGTCCGTCTGTCCGTCTGTCCGTCCGTCGTCAACATGTCGGACATTAACTCAAAAACGCTTTAACCAATTTGCATAAAACTTTGGTGAATTGTTTATATCTATTGACGTGAGCTCCCTTTCGTTTTTTATAAATTTTAGATTTTAAGTTTCTGAGTTATGGGGTTTTATTCATTGAAAAAAGGAGGATTTTTCAGTTTTCGGATAATAACTCAAGAATGCTTTCACCAACTTGCAAGAAATTGTGGTGAATTGTTTATATCTATTGACATGAGTTCCCTTTCGATTTTTATATATTTTAGATTTTACGTTTCCTAGTTACAGGGTTTTATTCATAAAAAAGGGGGGATTTTCCAGTTTTCAGACAAAAAAATCAAAAATGCTTTCAGCAGTTCTTATGAAACTTTGGTGAATTGTTTATATCTATTAATGTAAGCTCTGTTTAGAATTTTATAAATTTTACATTTTACATTTCTGAGTTATGGGGTTTTATTCATTAAAAAAGGGGGGATTTTCCAGTTTTTGGACAATAACTCAAAAATGCTGTCAGCAATTCTCATGAAACTTTGGTGAATTGTTTATATCTATTGATGTAAGCTCCCTTTACATTTTCATAAATTTCTAATATGACATTGAGAATTAATTGAACTTTATTTAACAATCTCTTGAAATTTTATACATTATTGTGAAATGAGCGGGGTCTGCAAAATGTGCTTCCTGAACCCAGAGTGCATTTTTTTCTGGCTGGAACAGCCCTCATTGATTTAGCAATGGTAGCTCAAATTAGTTACTATATGGTGGAATGGCATTACAAAAGATTTTCTTGAAACGTAAAATATTAGATTCTAATTTTTGAAACAAAAGGAAACATTGTGCTATTATTTTCGGGCCAGGTGAGCTTTTTCCATCACTTGTATCCATTGTCTGCCGTCCGTTAACTTTTACAAAGCATCTCCTCTAAAACTACTGAGCCAAATTTAACCAAACTTGGCCACAATCATCATTGGGGTATCTAGTTTAAAAAATTTTGTAAGTGTCTCGCCTTCTTTTGCTGTTAATCGCAGGCTCAACAAAAATAAGGAAAAAAATTAATAAAAATAGTCCTCTCTATACTATCTTTTGATTGTAAGTAGCTTCTGTCCAAGTTTGGTAAAAATCCAGGATAGTTTATGAATCTAATAAATGTTTTAAAAACTTAAACTGCAGACTGTATGTAATGTTAACTGGAAGAAGAACTAAGTCCATTTATAAGTAAAATACGGAAAAAATGGAACAAAATTTTAACAAAATTTCCTTCTAGATATACTAGCTTTTAATCATAAACAAGCTTCTGTCCAAGTTTGGTACAAATCCAAGATAGTTTAAGAAAGTTGTTAAAATTTTTAAAACTTTAACCACAGAGTGAATGTAATGTTAACTGGCAGAAAAACTAAGTCCATTTATAAGTAAAATACGGAAAAAATGGAATTTTTTTATTACAAAATTTACTTCTGGATACTATCTTATGATCATAAACAAGCTTCTGTCCAAGTTTGGTAGAAATCCAGGATAGTTTAAGTAAGTTATTAAAATTTCAAAAACTTTAACCACAGAGTGAATGTAATGTTTCCTGGCAGAAAAACCAAGTCCATTTATAAGTAAAATACAGAAAAAATGGAATTTTTGTTTTACAAAATTTACTTTTGAATATTATCTTATGATCATAAACAAGCTTCTGTCCAAGTTTGGTAGAAATCGAGGATAGTTTGAGAAAGTTATTAAAATTTCAAAAACTTTAACCACAGAGTGAATATTTGTGGACGCCTCCGCCGACGATGCCAACGACGCCGACGGAATGTAGGATCGCTTTGTCTCGCTTTTTCGACAAAAGTCGAAGGCTCAATAAAAATGTGTCCGATGACACCGCTTGCCAACCAAGATGGCCGTCATGGCTAATAGAATAGAACATAGGGGTAAAATGTAAGTTTTGTCTTTTATTTTGAAAACCGCTATAAATAGAGAAAATCTGACAGGTGCAAAAATTTTCAGCATGTTGAGTTCTTCCTATCATCTATTTACATTAATACTGTCAGACAATTTCTTATTGGAGTTATTGCCCTGAAATGACAAATTTTACTACTTTTTTTCATTTTGACTATTATCTTGAAAACTGTAATAGATAGAGAGAAACTTTAAACAGCAATACTGATCAGCAAGACAAGATCTTCAAACAAGTCACATAGCCGAAATCGTCAGTCGACTCCTTATTAGGGTTATTGCCCTTTAATGACAATTTTTACCATTTTTTTTTTTTCGTTTTTTGCCTAAAATCTTAAAAACTACAATAGATAGATAGAAACTTTAAACAGCATCAGTGATAAGCAAGACAAGATCTACAAATAAGTATAATAGCCAAGTTCTTCAATTGACTGGTTATTGAAGTTGTGGCTCTTTAATGATGATTTTTACCAATTTTTGGCATTTTCGCCTATTATCTTGAAAACTATAGGGTTACAATCAGACCTACCTCTCTTTACCCTTGGCAGATTAAGTCAGAATTTATGATCCACAAGGTATTGCTTTCCATTGGACGCAGTTGTAATTTGGTCACGGGAAGATATAGAAAACATAAATAAACAATTGCCAAGTGTGATATTTAGTGACACTTTTGAAGTTCTTAATCAACTAATTGAAGTTCTTGAGTACCGGTATGTTACTTGTGCAGATGTGCGAATGTCAGCGTATATATGAGGTTTCATGCTTTACTAAGTTTGTAAACACTGGACCCCTTTGAACTAAAGAGTACAAGTGCTGTCATTGGTTAATTATGATGTACCTGTAGTCGAAGTGGGCATGACTTCTATCTGTCACTAGATGGCATTTCGCTGTCTTAATCTGCCAAGGGTGAATAGGAGCTGGTCAGATTGTGGCTAGCAAAGATGCATGTTATCCTGCATTGTACTGGACTAACACACAGATTCAGATTTTAACATGTTAGTTCACAAGATACAAGTTGAAGGAAGACATATCATCCAATTGAGACACTTTGTTCTTACTCTCAGTCCATTAGTCTTTGCCATTACTCCTAAATTAAACTGTTAACGTCTTTTGGGGAGTTTCATGTTTATAAATAAGTCTTATATCACAGCTACTGATGTGTTGCCAAAATCTCTTCATACTATTTTTGAGCACCCAGTAGTTAGCCAGTACAACATAAATTCTTTAATCAAACTGATATCTTTATGTTCTACTTAAAGTAATAATCCCAAGTAATTAGAATGTTGTGTAAAAAATATCCAGAAAGGTGTTGTTTTGATAGATTTAAATTTGGAAACTCCTGTAATGCTGTGGTTTCCTGTACCAAGGGAGACAACTACAATTATAAAATAGACATTGCTATCAATATGGACTTTCAGGTTTATAATTGAATTATCGTTGGCCTAAAAGCAATTGCAACAACTAGGGTAACCTGAAACAAAGGAAAGGATCTGTGTGTCTGCTTACACCCAAAAATAATAATTGTTACATACTGGTATGTTTGTGTACATAAATAATTATTTTCCACAGCTCTTAGGTTTACCCCAAGGTTGACTTTACATGTATAAAGAAATATGGGGTACTGGACTTCTCGTATCCATCAAGAAGACGCTTTTGAGGTAACAACTGTTTGACTGTATGGAATTTGTAGAAATGCCGCCCCATATGGTCAGAAGTGAGACAACAAATTTGATTCCCTGTGCTCGAACAGTTCCAAAATCACTGAAGAACCTTTGCAAAATCTCTTTGGGATCAGTAGATGAAAATAATTCTTTATAAATTTTGTGCCTGAAGTGCTTTTCTGAATTTAGCTATTCTGTTGTATGGCAAGATTATTGCCTTGAACTCTATTTTTCAGAGGCCTTGCAAAGGAGTAGGTTCATGAAGGACTAAAATTGAATTGGTCTTTTTATGTTTTTTTTTAATCTGGTCAAAATACTACAACTTTTACATACAAATATTTTAGCATTTTTTTAGATCATAAAACTTTAAAAAAACCTTGACCCCAGACATGGGACATGGGAAACTTCTACCATTTTTGTTCTGAATAAGGTTGCAAAAGAGGTGACCTATATATTCATTTTTTATGTTGTTTTTTAGCTGTATTATTTTGTACCCAAAATGGCTTTTGCTTGAATTTTTAGGACTAAAATGGTTGCAAATGACATGAGCTTTTCATGTTCAGAATCTGGGTCGGACTAGGTTAAGGGGGTAGCTGCCCAAATCTATGTGAATGTGGTTTCTTAAAGGGTTTCTGTTTGGCTTGAGGTCTTTTAAAAGCATTTTTTTGTGAAATTTTTTTTCAACATTATACATAAAGGCTCTTACATACCTAAGCATTGTCTCCCCAATGGTGAAAGTCATGAAATGGGAGTCATGGGAAATATTTTTCAGGCAGCTGTGATAACTATTTGCCAATACCCCAAAGCTTTATTCCAAAAGTCGCCTAGAATTACCAAAATAATTATTGGGGTAGTTTGTGTCAGTCAGTCATTGTCACCTTGGTTTGACCTCAACTTCAGGCTCGAGTCCTCAGGTTAAGCTCTTAGGATGAGGTCTGGTTCTCAATAACAATACATGATAGGCGTGTGATTTGGCCTTCAGTCTTTGACCTCAATTTCAGGTTCCTTGGGTCAGGTTAAGTTTTCAGGATAGGATGTGGGTATACATCAATGTATACCCATAGAAAAAAAAGATAAAATGTATTGATTATGTCCTGTTGTTAGCTACTTTTTACTACTTCGTTTATTTAAAAGACGTGATAATAACAGTATCTTGTCACAGGATTTAAAATCTGAAAACTATAACATTGCACAAATTACCAATCTAATGAGTTACAAAGCAACAAATGTTTTGTCATTTTTGTCGAGCCTGCGACTTTTGTCGCAGAAAGCTTGACATAGGGATAGTGATCCGGCGGCGGCGGCAGAGTTAGCTAAATTCTTAAAAGCTTTATATTTTAGAAGGTGGAAGACCTGGATGCTTCATACTTTTTATATAGATGCCTTATGTTACGAAGTTTTTGTCTGTCACATGTCCATTGTCCTTGACCTCATTTTCATGGTTCAGTGACTACTTGGAAAAAAAGTTGTGATTTTTTTGTACTGTTAATTTCTCTCTTATTATGAGTAATAGGATAACTATATTTGGTATGTGCGTACCTATCAAGGTCCTCATGCCCGTCAGACAGTTTTTACTTGACCTCGACCTCATTTCATGGTTAAGTTTTGGTGGTCAAGTCCATATCTCAGATACTATAAGCAATAGGTCTAGTATTCATTATTTACAGCTTAAAATTTATAATGTATGTCTGATAGCATTTACTTTCAACATAACTTCAATTATAAATACACGACAGGCGAGACATTTCTGTGTGTCCACTCTTGTTGAATGAAAGAGAAGGCAAATATTTGTTTTTTTGTCAGAACTGTTTAATATTTTCCATTGATGGAAGATGTGGTTAAACTTTTCTGAAGTTGGATAGTGAATTTCCCATGAAATATGAAGGGACAATAAGGGAAACACATTTTTCAGGAAAATTTTTTAGTTTTCTCTTGACTATGCATGATAATATTTACTCTGATGCATTTATTATTTAATGTACTATGACAGCCAACTGATATAAAATATTACAAAAATGACAAGAACCATGTTAATCTGCTCATTAGAGGTCAGCAGATTTTGAACATTTGTTGGCATGTAATATTAAATTTAAATCAAGTTTTGAAATTAAATAAAACTGCTGAGATTTAATTTAATTTTTCCCTAATGCACATTTATCAGAGCTTTTAGATCAAACCAATTTGGCTATTTTATTGTCAAATATACCAGCTTTTGAAAATTTGGAAGTTGTCAGAAGATTGAATAAATTACAAAAATTCCCAATTTTGAGCCTATTTTTACTCAAAAACTAGCAGGCAATCTTTTTTTTTATTTTATGGATTTTCTAATATCTCACCTTGAACTACAATATATCTCAAAATGAAAAAAAATGACAATTCAATGTGAAACTGTATTGACTCCCCTTAACAATGCATTATTCTGTCATACCACTGCACTAAAAACAGTCTTGAATTTTTAAAGTTCTGTAACAGCTGCTAGTCATCTTAGTGTATATTGCATTCTACAGAGTGGACAATTAACCCCTTTTTCAATTTTGTCTAGACTAAAAAATATATAATTTATTCATGGAAGAAGCCATCTGGGAAATTATTCATAGCACTGTGTAACTTTCAAAATGAATTTGTGACTCTAATTCTATTTGACAAACTGTGGCTTTTTCTTAAATCAAGTATGAAATACACATTCTGTTTGATAATATCTATACGTCTCATTCTGAGACTCTGTAACTTATATAATATGTCATCTTATGTTTGGAAGGAGAATTAAGTCAATATTCAAAGTAAACCAATGTAAACCTATGGCGTCCTTGAATTACATAATTCTGATGTTTTTCACAGTTCATGTAACAAACATATTTAGAAAAACTGTGTAAGTTTTGAATGAAATACTAGTTGTAGTAAAAACCGGAAATATTAAATTTAAATATATATTATGTAATTCACAATTTTTGTTAAAATGAACTAATTTACTTATTGTTGTGGGTAATTCAAAATATTAAATCATTCATGTTTAATGTAAATGAGTTTCTAGACTAGCATAGAAATTTGTTTTCAGTGTTTTTTGGGGTAATTTCAATACATGTACATGCAAGGCCAAAAATAATACAGGGCTTTCTACTCTTTATGAGTTTTTTTTTTCAATACAAGCAAGGTCAAAATTAATACCGAGCTGCCCACTCTGTATTTGTTTTTTTCAATTTAAGCAAGGCCAAAATTAATATAGGGCTGTCCACTCAATAGTTTTATTTCAATATAAGCATGGCCAAAATTAATATAGGGCTGTCCACTCAATAGTTTTATTTCAATATAAGCATGGCCAAAACTAATATAGGGCTGTCCACTCAATAGTTTTATTTCAATATAAGCAAGGCCAAAATTAATATAGGGCTGTCCACTCAATAGGAGTTTTATTTCAATATAAGCAAGGCCAAAATTAATATAAAGCTGTCCGATCAATAGGAGTTTTATTTCAATATAAGCATGGCCAAAATTAATATAGGGCTGTCCACTCAATAGGAGTTTTATTTCGATATAAGGAAGACAAAAATTAATACAGAATATCCACTCAGTAGGAGTTTTTTTTTTTAATACAAGCAAGGCCAAAATTAATACACAGCTGTCTACTCTCTATAAGTTTTTTTTTAATATAAGGCCAAACTTAAAATCAAAGTTGTTTGATGTTGCCTACAAAAATTTATTACACAAATCATTTCAATTTTTTTTTAAAGTATTTTTAGTACTCTAAAATCATTTTCTTGTCTAAAACATGTAACTTATGTTGTTGGCCAAACATCAGCCTTATTTTATACATAACCCTGTTGGACAGAATTGAGGGAGGGGGGTTCCAGATGAAAAAGAAAAACATTTTCAAAAATTGATTGAAATTTTAATGGAATGTTTTAGACCACTTAAGACAGATTAAATTTGATTTCCAATGTTTTCAGTTTTACTGTCCCTGAGTTATGGCACTTGCTTTTTGAAAGAATTCCAATTTTTTTTAATTTCCAGATGATCATAAGAGTACAGCATTTTGATATATATTGAAATTTTAATGGATTATTTTGAACAAATAAACCCAGGTTGATTTAAATGTTTGTTGTTTTCTCATTTCCAGAGATATGGTACTTGATAGCTTGAAAAATTCAAATCTTGTTGGTTTTCAGGTGAAAAAATGGAGAACCCCTTTTTTAAATTGATTGAAATTTTAATGGAATGTTATGATCTACTAAACAAAATCAAGATCTCTCAGTTGCTGCAGGGAGGGGTATCTGTGATCTCTTAGATTACCTCTCTGGTTCATTTAGGAATTTGATAGCAGGAGATGGAAATTTCTGTTGTCATGACCCATTTAGTTTTTTTTGCAAGCATTGTGATAGAAAATAAACTCCATTAAGTAAAATATAATTGCATGAAGGAAGACTGTAAGATCTACTCAGTAGCAGCCTATTGGAGCAGTCCTAAGTATAAGGTACAAAGAAATAATTATTGAAATGCCATTTGTTTATATAACCAAAATGAAAATAAATCATATAACCGATTTTGTTATTATTAAATCTGCTTGAAGTAGAGGCTCTCAGTCATAAAACTGTAATCAGTGCTCTGAAAATAAAATTTGCGCTCAAAAGAGTCAAAACACCAAATCCAGTATTTGATTGGTGATTTCTGAGTCTATGTACAGTAATCGTGATCGAAATTTGTATTAACTGCAAGGCCATGAATGTAGGACAGATTATGGAAAGATCTCCATCTTTGATTTCTCAACATTTTATTTTAAGTTGAAACTCAAACTTATTTGAATATATATAGATAGGAACACTCAGACTGATGTTTGAGATCTTTTTTGAGAAATGCAAGCCTGGTAATAGCATAAGGACATGAAGGATGGAAATTTTAGGTTAGAAAAAGGAAAGGTTAGAAGGAAAGTTTATTGGTCACAAGTGTTTTAACAGCTATTTAAAGCAGATTTTTAGAAATTTTGTGATTTCTGTGTGTAGCAATAAGGTTTCAACAACAGTATTGAAAATTAAAACTATACTGTAAAATGTATTTTTTCTTCAGGCCCCTGAACATGTTAATCCTGAATGCTGGAGTGTTTGGCTTACCCTACATAGTGACAGAGAATGACCTTGAAATCACATTCCAAGTCAATCACCTGTCTCATTTCTACCTGACCAAATTGTTGTATGATTTGCTAGTATCATCAGCTCCTAGTCGTGTGGTAGTAGTGTCATCAGAGTCACATAGGTAAGTCTAGCAGGTGAAACTATGACATTTTTATTAGTTGTATAAATGGTAAATGACGTTTGTGACCAATTATCAGGTATGATATTTCCACCCACATTGTTTTAAAAACATCTTGCATAATTAACACATGATTGGTCAAATTCTACATTATAATGGTTGTTGTTGATCTGAAATTTTTTTTTGCACCTTGAAGTATTTTTATAATAATATTTCACAGACACTAAATTTTTTCCGACATGTAGTTACAGTCTATTCTTACATTAGGACAATTACAATAAAGACTAAGAAAGCAAAGTATCAATTTTTTTTTTTAAATTTCAAGATGTCAAGACTCTAGGCACATTAGAGCTTGACATATTGGGTAGACACCAGTTTGTTGATAAAAATTACAGTAATGTTCCTTATAACACCCCTGCAACAAATTGTTGGTGGCATATTGTTAACCCCTTTCTGTCTGTCCCACATAAGGTATATGGTTTGTCCTGCTAAATCTACATACAGTTTTCAAGCAAAAACTTTTAATTTATGTAGAGTTTTAGTACATATACTACAGGTGTGCATGATGTCAGGATTTTGATATTTAAAAATGAGGGGTTGTTGAACTTTATTGTAATGTAAGGCATGCAGGGTAGATGATTCGTCTGACTAAATCCTCCTACAGTTAGTAAGCTAAAACTTTATATCATGTAGAGTTTTAGTACATATACTAAAGGTTTGCATGATGTCAGGATTTAGATTTTTTTTTAATTTTCCACAAATAATGGGTTGTTGTAATTTTTTTGATGGTGAGCTTCAGAACACATGGAAATGTGGTTGTGGCTTGCTACCCTTATAGAAAAGAGCAGCCATTGTACAAACTTATGCTCTATATACAGAGTACTGTAAATAGGATCAATGAATGCATTCACAAGGAATACAGTCAAGATGTTTGCATTTTGATTGCAACAAACATGTTTCCCATATATTAATGTAGAAAATGTCTTCTACTAGTTCCAGTGTGAATTTGTTGAGAAACAACAACTTTGTTCTCAGTTAGAATAAATTCAAGTTAAATGTAACAAGTTAAATCATCAATATTGGAAAGATATGAAAAATTATTTTGCAATGCAAAGAAAACAACTTCTGAAAAGTGAATAAAAAATCATTTAAAAAAAAGATCTGACTGAACAATGTATACATTTTTACTTTTGTTACTTTAACAATTTGTTTTACTTGTAGATTTCCAAAAATCCACATGGTTGAGGATGTATGCGAAGATTCATTATCATTACCAAAAGACAAATATAGTGATATGAATGCTTATAATGTATCAAAACTGTGCAATAATCTATTCTCTCTACATCTAAATAAACTTCTAGCTGGTAAAAAAGTAACCAGTAATAGCTTACATCCAGGAAGTTGTATAAGTACAAATATACAGAGAAACTGGTGGTTATATCAAGTTGTATTCTTCATTGTGAGACCATTTACAAAATCAAAGGTAGGCTTAATATATACTGTAAAACACCTGCAAATAGGACACATGAATGGTAATACAAATATATTACTGGTACTCTGAGTCAAACCTGCTATAAAGGTCACCTCTTTCAAGCAAAGACCGGTCCTGGCTGGTCATTTTTATTTCCTGCTGTAGTAATACCTTTGCATTTTGAACCTCAAATGAAAGGTGACCTCTCTTGTAAGGTCAGCTTTGTCTGGTCCCAAGGGTGATCTTTATGTACAGATTTGACTGCATGTTTATTTTCAATATTTACAGTATGAACTGATAAAAGTAAAGTACTGGTATAATTTTAACCCTTTCAATGCTATACACGGCATATGCCGCGATGACGTACGCCGCCCGCCTCTGCTGTTCACGGCATATGTCGCAATGATGATGGATTTTTCATACAGACTCGTAACCATTCTGTTTTCATTTGGGTCCTCTCTCATTTTTCCTCATATGAATCGAGGATATACAAGGTCCCGTTTGCGCTTGAAATCGTGGGAATTTTAATATGGTCGATCTTTACGAGATGTAGAAAAAGGGGGAAACGGAGATTGACTGAAAATTTTGAAGAAGGAGACACTTATTTGCGCCACGTTTACAATATACGTTGTGTATGGTGCAAATACGCTACAGAATTGAGCAACTGGTGTCTTCTTTATTATATGGCAGATAAAACAACAAAATAAATGAAGATTAAAAGTTGCTTTTATTAAAAATTCAACACCAAAAATACAATAATTTATACTTTTTACCTGTTAATTACCTGAAAATGCAGGTAGCTTGATGAAAATTTAACTAAAATAATTGCAAAACATTACAGTTCATGCTCTCCTGAGCATTTTCATGCACTAACTTTGTCTGTATCTCTAATAATAAAAAAGATACAGCAGTCTGAAAAGGAATATACTGCTCTAATGAATGAACACAAAAAAAATGCAGCAGCGTTGAAAGGGTTAAAGGAATTATTTTTTAGGTAAACAATCATTGTTTCTTCTTCAGTTTATTGTAGACAGAAATTGTTCTTTTTTTCATCATTTTGTATTTCCTCACCAGATCTTTACAATGACTAGGGAAAGGGGGGATGGTTAAATTACATAACTTCCTGGCATGACTTGTATAGGAACCTGTTGTTGGGTTGCTGTTGCATTGATGTAAACCTTACAACTCTTTTATTTACACTAGAACTAGGAATGTATTGTTGCTTTAAGATTTGGAAGGCATATGTCAACAAAAAGAAATTAATTATATATATGGTACTGAGTTGCTTCCCTTTCCTTAATGTAAGCCTATGTTAATATAAGACACTCTTTGTTGAACAAATTGCAAATTACTCATTGTTTTAATCCTATTTTTACAGTATAAGCAGATGTTACGGAAACCAAATTTGAATAAATAAAGTTTCACATGACTGCATTAATAAAATAAAATTGTTGCATATACCAGCAGTGACATTTAAAAAAACGAACTGCACTTATTGATACTTAAAATGAGAACATTTTTAAATGCAACATGTCTTTTCCCCTTTTTCAAGGTATAAATTGAGTCTCTTGACTAATAATTTCTGCACATAAAATTTTTTCATACTTTGTAAATATGTTGTTTTTATCATATTCCTTATGAAAGTAACACAATATATTTCTTCTGATAGTATGACGATTATAAATACATGTAATTAGCAAAAACTTCAGCAGAAAAAGTGGCTTCATTTGGTTCAGTTGAAACCCAAGTGGGTATATGTTCTGTATAATTTATTCTGAAACAATACCTTGGTCCATTTATTTCTGCATGATGAAATAATACAAATATCAGACTGCAAAATGGTATACTATTGATTCTGAAAAAGCAAAACAGTTTATGTAACTCAAAAGTGTCAGAACCTGGGATTCCCGTGTCTCAGTCACCTTGCTGATTATTTGCTAATAGTTGAACTTTTTCTAAAGATTTACTGAAATTTTGCTGGAATGTACGAAATTCTGCAATTTTTAAGAAAAGGGTCTTTAAGGTAGTTCAGAAAATTTCAGGGAGATAAACAGAAATATTTTAGAATTAATGCTGAAGTAGTTCTGAATATCACTGTATATTTACTGAAAGTCACTTTTTCTGAAAACTTGCTGAAATAAGCCATACTCAGCCATTTTTGAGAAAAGGATTGTTAATGGTATTTTGTTCAGAAAATTTCAGCAATCAAGATCAAGAAAATGTTAAGGTAAACATTTCCATGAGAGCTAACTAACATATTTCTTCTATCATTTTTATCCTAACTTTTCAAATATACTCCTAAAAGAAGGAAGACCTTTATACACTTCGAAATGAAAAAAAAATGATTTAACAAATTTATATTTCAGCAACAAGGAGCAGCTACTACAGTCTACTGTGCAACACATCCAGACGTAGAGGAGATCGGTGGAATGTACTTTAACAATTGTTGTCCCTGCCAACCATCAAAAGAATCCATGGATGAACAATTAGCTGAGAAGTTGTGGACAGTTAGTGAGACCATACTTCAAGATAGACTTGCTAGATTGACAAGTATATAGTGGAAGACAGGAATATTTAACACATGTTTTAAAAACAAAAATTGAAAACCAATTGTTACCTTTATGTAAATCTGAAGTGGAAGATGAAATACACTTCGGTATAAAATATACTAAACTCAAATAATATGTTCTTTAGGAAATCTTCAGATATATAACACTAATTTTCCAATCTTTCAAAAATTTGCTGTTATGGAACTTTTTTGTTTTTCAATTTCTGTTTTATCAGCTCTTCAAAGTTTGTATTAGGTTGTAATTTTCAAATATGTCTGTCTAGAGCAATTCTGAAGAGACATTTATTGTTCAAATGTGCATCTGGTGTTGTTAAATTGGTATGGTTAATGTTATTTCAGACTTTAAAAAATTCCATCCAAGGAGAAGGTCAGGTAAGGGCTAATATTGGCCTAAAATTTAAAGTAATCTGATGAAAGATTTTGGACATATTTTAAACACTTAAGTGTCTACTTCAGTCAATTCAATTTGTTCATGTAAAAGATTAGGTCATTAAAGGCACTCAAATTCAAACTTAAATGTAAAAAATCTATCAAATATGGCATAAAATTTCACTTTTCAGTGGTTTTTGTCTGAAATGTAAGTGGCCACTTTCGTGTTCAGTCTCAAACTTTATATATGTTATGTACAATCATCAAATACAACATATATTTAAATATTAAGACTTAACAAAAGTACAACCATTTCCATTTTCGACAAAATCCAGCTAAAAATTAGCACAAATGCTAAAATTGTGAAGATTTCAGTAATTTTGCATGAATTAATGATGCTAGTACCTGATGCATGTGTATTGCATTGTCAAAAAACAGCTCATATTTATGTAACAAAAGTATTCTACTTTCCAATAAATAGCTAAAAGTTTACATATTTAACAAATTTGTGAAAATACTTTATTTTGGGGCAAAAAGGGGGTCTTACCGGGAAAACTCCTTTTTGAATAAAAACTCCAAAATAATTATGATGGTAAAAAATGCTGCATTAAGGCATACAATACAGAAGCAGGGGCCAATTATAATTCGACAGATGTCAAATCTACAGTGAGACATAAAGCTAGAGTTGAATAAGCACCTAGTTACTTTTCAGTCACCAAAAATATCGGATAATTGTCAGATATTTGTATAGAGCTGTGGGAATGCTTACATGACGATGTTGCTTACTTTGTGTCAAAAACAACAATGCTATTTATACCATTAAAAATGAGGTTTTCTGCTTTTAGCCAAAAAAGATGCACATAGACCCTTTTGCAATTGATTGTGTACTGTTTCAAGAATGTTATGTCATAATTACAAGAAAAAAAATCATTGGTAGATTGTATATCTGCATGCCTTTGAATTGGCAAGAAAACTGTCTGTGGCTTTCAATTGCCGATAATTGTATGATTTCACGACAATTTTATTTTTGTTTACCTTCAACTTGATAACTACCTCATTAGCTTATAAGCTAGGGAGAACTTGACCAAAAGAAATAGGTGGAACTATCTCTATTGGTTTGAAAGTTTTAAGTACTTTCAGCTAAGTGTTGATATATAAAATTTTCGCTTTTACTTCAAATTGGCCTAAAATAAACCCAAATATCTCAAAAAGTAATTCATACAGGTACATTTGTCTATGCATATTTCCATAGTGCATATCACTCTGTGTCAAAATTTAAAAGAAAATCAACATATCTCTACTAGTGTATGCCATTAAGGCATTAAAGAAATGTACAAATTTAGATGTGCACCTTGTTTATATTATTATTTAAAAATAAATATATTATATGGTATATATGAATGTCTTTAATCTTGTACTTCTTCAGTCAAATTGAAAGAAAAACTGCAATTTTTATGTATATTTTGTGTTGATTTTATATAATATACCTTTATTATAATGATTAATACTTGTTTGTTTTTGTGTTTATACTATGATGATGATCCAGATTTTGGATTTTAAATCAATAAAATCATTGACTTTACTAACAGTCCAAGTCAAGAGCATAGGATGAACAATAGTTGTTTGAACAAATTGATGTGTCTTAATGAATATGTTAATCCGGATGAACAGTTCAATAACTTATGATTATCTGTGATATTTGTTTGTATTATTTTGCAACATCTTTTTCCCCCAGGTCATTACTCTAAGGAGAGATAACACTTTTGGTCAAAAAATCATTGACATATTTTAGCATATTTTAGCTATTTAATGTATTGTGAAGAATCTTTTACATGTATGTTTATTTTCATTAAATTTAAAATTTGTTCATATGAATTGTATTTTTTGAGTCAAATAATAGAGTACCTCTCAAATCTTTGTGAAATTCAGTGTCTTAGGGCAGGGGCAGGTCCAGGTGAGGGCGTAATGGCCTTGCATTCATAAAATTTTGAGCTTGATTATTGTACATATGTATTCCTATTCAAAAATCAACCAATCAAAATACTGGATTTGCTGTTTAGAGCACAAAGTTTGAACTCAAGAGTACTGAGTAAAGTCTTATAAGTGAGAGCCTTGGTTTTTTGTGTTGCTCATTCTTAGTTTCCTGTATAGTGTTATGTAAACTGTTATTTCAACTTTTTTGTCTTTTCAACTATTTTCTTTTAGACCTTGTAATATATGTCTTTCTAGGTGTTATGAATTTTGTATTGTCCTTGGGATCTTCTGACTTTTTCATAATTATTGGTAATCTGAAGTCAATTTTATCAGTAAATTGAGCCCTGTATATTGACTCTGTTTGATTTTAATATAATAAATTGTAATTATGCCCCCGAAGTAGCAGAGGGGGCATTAAGTTTTACCCTTGTCCGTCTGTACGTCCCAAAATTGGTTTCTGTTCTCCAACTTTAGTTTGCCTCATTTGCATATGTTATGAAACTTATACACAATGCTTATAACCACAAAACACAGATCAAGTTTCAATTTTGGTGGTGTCTCTTTTACTGTTCTAGAGTTATGCCCCTTTACAAATTGAAAAATTGCTGAATTTTTCGTTTCTGTTCTCCAACTTTAGTTTGCCTCAATCAAATGTTAAGAAACTTATGCACAATGCTTATTACCACAAAACACAGATCAAGTTTGATTTTTGGTGACGTCACTTTTACCGTTCTAGAGTTATGCCCCTTTACAAATTGAAAAATTGCTGAATTTTTTGTTTCCATTCTCTAACTTAAGTTTGCCTCAATCAAATGTTAAGAAACTTATGCACAATGCTTATTACCACAAAACACAGATCAAGTTTGATTTTTGGTGACGTCACTTTCACCATTCTAGAGTTATGTCCCTTTACAAATGGGAAATAATGCTGAAATTTTCGTTTCTGTTCTCTAACTAAAGTTTGCCTCAACCAAATATTATGAAACTTATACACAATGCTTATTACCACAAAACTCAGATCAAGTTAAAATTTGGGTAGTGTCACTTTACCATTCTTGAGTAATGTCCCTTTATAACATTATATGCAAGTGGGGGCATCATCTGTATCCCATGGACACATTCCCAATTTATTTTATATGGGTGATATGCAAAAGTATGAATTTTATCATAGTGGCCAAGATTTGTAGATAGTTGCCTAAAACGCACTTCAACCTATCTGACACTACTATTATTGGTGGTAGGAGACTTGATTTTGTCATTTTTAATAATGATAATGTACACTTCATCTACCAGTATGTATAGATATAAAATTAAGAAGATGTGGTATGATTGCCAATGAGACAACTCTCTACCAGAGACCAAATGACATAGAAGTTTACAACTATAGGTCACCATACAGCCTTCAACAATGAGCAACAGTTTGTCATCATAGTAGCACTGTATCATTTTATGTTATGTCCCATCTTACCTGAATTAAGGATTTTTTTAGGTTTCAGATTATAAGTAGCACATTCCTTGACCTATTATTTTTCGAGAAAAAAAAACAAACAATAAATACAGATAACACGTGACTTTAGCAAATTTAACATATATTGTATTGGAGTTGTAAGGTCCCTAAATTATGATAAAAGTACTGCAATTACTCACTGCTTGAGCAGGTTGACTAAATCTTGCTAAAATTTACACAATGTCATGGGAGCATTAATTGATGTAGCTGTTCAAGAGTTTTGCCTTTCTACAATCTCTTATGTTGCTGCTTCAGAGGCAATGCTTACTCTTACAATGGTGGAGGTATCTGTGATCTTTATTCATGATTTTGAGCTAATTTCCAGCATATTTAAAAAAAAATTACAAATCAAAATTTTACTTCTTTATAAAGTTTGACACTGCTATATGCAGCAATGAATTTTCATTAACACTGAACTTTATATACAAAAGGCCATTTCATGATCTTGTGGTAGTTTCTGCCTCTGCCAAACAATGTATGAGAGAGTAAGAGCAAAGACAGGTCAGTAAAGTCAAAACATGGAAGTATTATATTAATATAATACTTCCATGGCCAAAATAACATGTTTGCGTAGTTGGATTTCAAATGGACTGTTAATTGAGAGATAGCACATTAAAATACCCTGATAGACACTTGTCTTGTCTGTGAAAAAGATCATAGAATGCCAGACATTGGGATAACAATCCGTCGGCGGCGGCGTAAACTATTTGTAGAGAGCTTTATTTTTCAGAAGATAGAAGACCTGGATACTTACTTCATACCTTGTATGCAGATACCTTATGTAACGAAGTTTCTGTTTGTCAGGTGTCCATTGTTCTTGGCCTCATGTCAAACACTTATTGTGAGTAATGGGATAACTATGTTTGGTATATTGGATTGTTGCAAAGTCTACATGTCTGTCAGACAGGGTTTACTTTACTGCAATCTCGTTTCATGGATCAATGATCGAGGTTTAAGTTTTCGTGGTCAAGTCGGTATCTCAGATACTATAGAAATTTTTGTGGTTTGGTCTGTTTCTCCAGTACTATAAACAATAGGACAAAGTTCTATATTTGGAGTATGGAATCAATGATTGTTAGATGTGATTGTCTCTCTGGCAGTGTTCATTTGACCTTGGCCTCATTTTAAGAACCATTTATAAGGTCAAGTGTATGTGATACTTGTATTAAAAAATTAATTTTACATACTTTCAACTCAAATTCAATCATGAGGTAAAGCAGGCAAGACAAGACATTCCAGCGTTTGCATTCTTGTTTGTTGTTGTGAATATGCATGTAATATTTGCTGCTGGATATAAATCAACCATCAGTAAATCATACACAAAAGCTTTATAGTCGATGTATTTTCAAACATAATATTGGCGTACTTCATGTTTGTTTTTGCTGTCTGTCCAATTGTACAGCACCGAGGGGTCATGGATTTTGTTAGCCATAACCATCGCTTATGGGTCAATTGTTTCGTCTTAGTAATTGAAGATAGCAACAGCATATAGGCATCACGAAAAATTGAGCTGATTCAGCAATCTTTGTGCAAATAGATACAATTGAGTTGGTTCAGCAATCTTTGTGCATATAGTTAAGTAGACATATTGAGAATTGAGATGATGCCCTTGAAATAAAAGAATGTTCTTATTGGTGTTCCTCTGACGTCATCTCATGAGAGCATTAAGACACTTGTCCTTTTCAAAGTTTTCGTGTTTTGTTTGTTTGTTAAATATGTCTATCAACATTATTGTTCAGTGGCTGAGATTGCTTAGGAATTGCATTTATGTATTTAACTTTTTCAGGGAAATTTCGATTTATCGTGTAACTGCCTATTATTAGCTAATTTAAGGGTTCGGTATATGACTATGGAGGGATTACAAAAATGTCTCATAGACACACCATCTCTAGTTGTAAGTAGATTTTAAAGTCATATTTGATGCAGAGGTTGTCTATCCATAACACGTGGTAGTCATGATAAAAGTTACCACAAAAATCTGATATTCTATATGTAATATCAAGAGCTTAGTTCAAAGGCCAGATTCATGTGATAGCATTGTGTAAAACATGTATGCATTAACGAACTTGAATCATTAAACTTCAGAGACTTATATCAAGATCAGAGCTGCAAAGGACAGGGTCACATGACAGGTAAAGACGGTAAAGGTGTGTGTATAGCCGCAAAAGAGTTTTCCTCTTGCAAACATATTTATCAAATTTGGTGACCTGGTTCCCAATGATGAGAAGATACTGGCAGATGTTTATATGAGCAGTGCATTAAGTGCTGTTGTTTGCTGGAAGATTTTCAACATTGAACTAAAGAGTTCATATACATTACAGCAAATCAGGATAGCACAAAGCGTCAACGTAAGCCCAGAGACATGTATGTATTATATGTTTCTGGAAAGCCATACTCTGATGTTCACAGATAACCCAGACAAATACCTTTGAAGGAGCATTTGCTATAAATGAAAGAATTCGTCCTGCAAATTCTATCTTTTGCTGCCTAACAAGGTATTATATAATCAAAGATATATAATACAGTTGTATTATAATATGCCTTTCATAGATCTTCATATAATCAAAACAAATACTGACAATCAGGCAATCACATGCATCTTGAAGATTTTTATACGGAAACTTGATGAAAGTAAGGTTGAACTTCGCAATAAAGACGATAGGAGTGCATAAATGAATTTTAAAGCGCAACTTTGACTTAATCAACTATGAAGTTGTACAACCAACAATTGCATTAGCATTGGTGTAGACTGGTTAGAGGAAATGAAACAAAATTTTCATCATTATTATATAAATTGTTACATGTTTACTACACATATTATGGTTATGAATCTAAGTGGTTAAAATTTATAAAGAATATTTTAGATGATTGTGGTATTCAAATATTTGGCAGAACCAAACTGTTTTTTCGTCAATATGGATTTCAGAGTGTGTTGAACAGAAACTTAAGGATCAATTTATACAATTTTGGTATTCAGAAATGTTCAAGTCTCCTAAGATATTGTGCTATAGATAATTCAAAACTCTTTTTTGTTTTGAAAAATAAATCTCTGAGTTATCACCCTTCTATATGTACATACTTTGTAAATTTAGATGTCTCAGTCACCGATTGCCAGTCGAGACCGGGAGATGGCGCAATTTGCCAAGAAGCGAAAGAGTGTGCCCTCTCTGTGACTCGATGGATATCGGTGACGAATACCACTATATTATGTCATGTAGCTACTTTAATAATGCAAGAAAAATCTGCTTCCCCCTTTTTGTTACGAAAATGTAAACATTTATAAGTTTGAACAGCTATTTTCTTCCAACAATGTAATTATATTAGAATAAAACTGTGTAAATTTATTCAAAACGTCCAAGGGAAGGAAGGTCGTTCCTCCAGGTT